AACTAACATCTTGGGGTTTCTCAAGGGCTCAGCCAATTTATTCAATATTTGTTTATAGGAGTGTTACTTTCAAATTAATACCAGTTCACTAAAAGCCATTGTTGAAAGTTTGTTGAGAAGGCTATGCATGATCTCTAAACAGAGAATCAAGTGCAAAGATAAACCAGTCAATGAATTTCTTGTGTTCTGTATCTAGATGCTTATGTGAATAGCATGGGAAGTATTATAATATAACAGGTGCATAAAAGGAATTTATCAGTTTTATGCAGGATTCTTTATTCTGTATGCATAAATAAATAAATATTAATATCTAAGGCAACTGTACAAGATTTCCATTGGATTCAGCTTTGTGTCTTGAATATCAGCTAAATTGAAATTCAAAGGAATTGCCGAATGCAACAAGCTTTGTAGGTTCCCCAACATTTCTGGTTTTGCAGACTGGCATGGGGAAGGGGAGGAGAGGATTTGTATTAGGTGGACCATATCATGCCAGGGATAGCATTTCCCAAATTCCGTTCCCTAGGATCTTAAACAAGCCAAGAGTAATGGTTGTAAGAACCCTGCAATTTAGCTTCAGCTGGCACCAATCCATCTTTTCCAGCTTTGTTTCCTCTCAGGCTTTATTAGCTACTGAACATTCATAAGCTTACTTCTGTTTTGACAGGGCAGCAAATCTCTGCTTGCCACATGTTATGCACTGCATACCTTCCTTCTCCTCCTTCCCCGCCACAAAATAGGTGTGAAATTTAAACCTTTTAACTCAGACAGATTCAAGTCCAGACCAATTTATAAAACAGATGACACTTTGCAAAAATCAATTTCAGTGGTCAGACTATGAAGGTCAATGGAGATTACATATCATGGAAAAAGTAACAGGAATGTAGGAGTGAAGGAACATCAGCTCTCCAGAGCAATTATGGAAATGTGACACTAACAGAAGCAATACTTGACTAGTCTTACTTCAGATAAACACAGGATCCGCCTACATCACTGAAACAGTTGAAAAGGAAAGAATAGGGTATGTTTTAGCAGATTTTTTTTCCTTTGCATTTTTCTGCAAGTTTTCTAATGTAGTTTCATTGTATTGAAAAACAAAGCTGGATGTGGTAACCTTTCCAAATTATCCAGAAAATTTGTAGTAAGTGAAATTGAATAGACAATTTCTCCACATTTTTTAAAAGACATACAAACTTGTCCAACTATTTGCCAAAGGCAAGATTCTCAATTTAAGAGGGACAATAGTATCCCTACTGAAAAAAGGCCCTAGAGGAGGACCATCCTGACAACCAGAATCTTAGTACCTTGTAGATCGGCCCTAAGCTGATCCGCAGTCCAACAACTGGGGCAGAGCCCCGGCCACGCTACAGTTTGACAGCTTTCAAAATGGTAGACCGGTTCCGGCTTGCAATAGAATTCAGGATTGGTGTTTTTATTCCTATTTTTCCAATCAATTTGAAAGGATTTGTTAAATTTGCTAGAAGAAATTAACACATCGTCCAACAAGCTGACTGAGACAATTTCTGGGGAGATCCCTAGCAGCAGTGGATGTGTCATCAAAGTTTTGACAGACTCAGTCCAATCACAGGCAGAGACTGATCACCCACCCAATCCTGAATGCTATCTCCACCACAATGGAGAACAAAGAGGCTTGGTTTGCTTGATATCTTTTGGATTTGCCTCATGACAATCATGTCTGCTATATTCTGTTGTGGCACTATGTCTCTGGAAAATTCCTTTCCAAGACAGTAATAAGTCTGTTCAGGAGAATTCAGGCAAAGATCTTTCCTGCAATGAATAGCAATGAGATACTTCTATAGTTTCTGCAATCTCATTTGCTTCCTTTGTTTTTATAGACAGCTCCAATGAGGGCAACTTGGAAATCATCAGGTATTTTCACTATGGATTAAATGACTTCCAACATGTCTTAGATCTTGGCAGGAATGCTGTCCTGCTTTGTTGCTTTATTTGAATTCATCTTGACATCATTTTTGTGATCTCAGTGTTTTTGTCTGTACTTTTGACTGCAGATATTTAAATTTGCCTCTCTTTTTTTGAGACAGATGATGGATTGTTCTGCAAGTCGGCATAGATCTTATTCTTGGCCTATAGGCAGCTGAAGTAGTCTCATGGGTTTCATCAAACCAGTCTTGATGTGCCCTGGTTTTCAGTTTGAATACAGTTGTTGCAGTCTAAGTGATGACATCTTTAAACTGCATCCACTTTTCAGAACAGGTTCCTACAAGTAGTAAATTGCCAGAGAGTTTTTCATTAACTACATCTTGTAAGTGTAGGACTTGGTCTGGGCCTTGCAGTCTGCCGATGATGAAGGACTTTCCAACAGTCCTTGAGTGCTTGGCTGCTTATGCTATAAAGGGACTATGTTTAGGACCAAATAGAGCAGCCTCTGATCTGTCCAGCACTCAGCACCTCATATGGTGAGGGTATTGATGGTGTATTTAAGATTGTACTGATATACCAATGACATAATCAAGTAGATGCCAATGATTGGACCAGGGATGCATCCAGGTAGTTTTGTATTTCTTTGCATAGTTTAACATTGTGTTAGCAATGCACAAGTTGTGCTCGAGACATTTACCCAGAAGCAGCAGGTAATTATTTACTTTTCTAATCCCATGTTTTCCAAGGACACCATCCCGATTGTTATTGTCTGTCCCTATCGTAGCATTAAAGTTGCCTGGAATGATGGATTTTCACTGGCAGAAGTTGTTCAAATAATCTGGTCCAAGTTCTCATAGAAACCTTCCTTGTCTTCATCTGGACTTGTGAAGTTGATCCATGAATGCTGATAGTGGTGAGATACTGGCACTTGCTGACAGGAAAGTGGAATTTCATAATGTGTTCATTTATTTCAAAGTCAAGATGAGATGAGTGGACCCATCATCAGAATGACTGATGACTGGTTTGTATATTTTCCAACCCAACTGTTAGGTGACTTACATTACTAACAGGTACCATGTTCAAGAATTTTATAAAATATATCAAGAAATTTCAGCTTCCTGCAATAATACCAGCAGAACTGCAAAAGACTGTGCTATTCAGAACATCGTACATCTTAAGAAGGTACTTAGTTGATACCTAGGAAACTGGCAGCAACCCATTAGACCAGTCAATGGTATTTGTGATGCATTTTTGAATGTTCAGTTGACTGAGTTTCATGTTTAATGAATAAAGTATATATAATAATAATAGTAATGCATCTGGGACTTTCGAATACAGATGGATCATCATTTGGAACACAACACGCCAGATATTATAGTTGTCAAAGGCCAAAATGTACAATTTATTGATATCACTACAGCAGAGGACACTAGAGTCAAAGAAAAAGAACCAGAAAAAATAATGAAATATCACAACCTGGCCATCGAAACTACACAGTTATGGATGAAACATATAACAGTGATACCCATTGTCATCAGGGCACTTGGTGCCATGTCCAAGAATTTTACAAAACAAATCAAGAAATTGCAGCTTCCTGCAATAACACCAGCAGGATTGCATAAAATTGCACTAAGCAGAACATCATATATTTTAAGAAGATACTTGGTTGATACCTAGGATGCTGGCAGCAACCTGTATCAACCATTAGCACCAGTCACTGGTATTTGCATGGGTGGGATTCTACAGGTTCACACCTATTCGTTGTTAACATTCTAAGCAGTTCGGAGAGGTGGTTGTTAAAAGAAATTACTGGCCTAATCCTGTAAGGAAGGCAGGAAGGAAGCATTCTGGTGTTGCTTACAGAAACTGCCTCTCTGTTAACCCTTATTACATTCTTGGCAGGACTAGACTTCCTATCTCTGGAACTTCTATGGAATTTTTTTTTCCTCCTTTGCTGGTACTTTGCTTGTGTGGAGTGAGCATTCAAAGTTACAATGGTACTGAAAAAAGAGACTTATGACCATATTTCACACTTATGACTGTTGCAGCATCCCCACAGTCATGAGAAGCCAGGCAAGGAGATGTGTGCCTCGATATGAGTGATATTGAGTTGGCCATGCCCAGACAATAACATGACTACCAAGCCACGCCCACCAACTAAGCCACGCCCACAGAACTGGTTGTTAAAAAAATTGAATCCCACCCCTGGGTATTTGTGATACAATTTTAAATGATCAGTTGACTGAGTTTCATGTTTAATGAGTAAGAGATAATAATACTAATACTAATACTAATAATACTAATAATAATAGAAGAAGAAGAAGAAGAAGAAGAAGAAGAAGAAGAAGAAGAAGAAGAAGAAGAAGAAGAAGAAGAAGAAGAGAACTGAAATAATGTAATTAAACAAATCCAAGTTCCATTGAATAGCTCTTTATTTGTTTCCTCAAAAGCAGAAAAATGAAAAGGGAAATATTAAAGAATAAATTATCTTTAATAGTGAGACCTGTGTAAAATGTTTTAGTCTTTAAAAAAAGGAAAGAAAGGTTTTGACAACAATTCAGCTCAAAGTTCACTGACCTCCATAAAGTTTTCTTTAAAAAATTATTGAGTTTAGGAAGAGATATAGAATTAACTTTCTAATTCAAATATGAACTTAATAAATTAGGGAGAAAAAAATCATATATAATATTGATTATGTTTACTACTGTGAAGTCTACAATTTCAAGCCATCAATACTTCTCTACAAATCAATGGATCAGTAAAGGACAATGTGTGAAATAGACATATAGTCTTCTTTTTAAATGTTTACATAGGAAATATATTAGCTGTTACTTTTTTAGCAAAGCAACAAGGGAGAGATATTAGCTGAGAAAATAATATTTTATTTTTTCCCAAAAGGGGATTAAAATATGGACATTCTGGAAATTTCTATCCAACACTCCTCAAAGATACCAGATCAGGCAAATATGATCTAGCTATATTTTTGGAAAAATATGGTTTAGGAGGCAGTGTGCAAATATATTTAGAATCAAATTTTAAATAATTATTCTATCATCAATGTACAGCAAGTTCATAAATAAAATTTTAATATCCATACTTACTCTTTCTTTGTCATGATGTAGCCATATTCTTCCACTTTGGAAGACTTTGCATCTAACTTGAGGCCTTCTCCGATCTTTTCTTGAGTTGCTTCATAAACACTTTCATCTTGAAGCCACATATTCTTAATCCAGTGATGAAGCTCATTTGGTTCCTTGGACCTGGGTTCAAACTCTGCTTTTTGGGGGGCAATTAGTTCTCTTGAGAAGGTTTCACTCTTCACATTTTCAATCCCAACCTTGACCTCTTCAGATGAAGACAAAAGATCTAAATCATCTGATTTTTTCATTTCTGTTTTAAAGGGTTCTTTGGACAAATATGACCATGACAGATTTTCAGGAACTATATTTTTACTCGGGAAATCTAGTATTTTTGAATCTAGATGGTCCTCCTATAATAAACAAAACAACAAATTACACCTGATTTATTATAGTTGCTTGTGTCTAATTCAGCAGTTCAGCTTTACAGTAGAAAAGTTACAAAAAGCTTATGCTATAGTAATTATTTTAGCAGTTTTATATTGGAAGGCTTTCTTGAGGATGAAAAACTCTGGAATTCATCTAAGCTGAAAGTTAACTTCGAACACATCCTAGGTTGCAGTAAAGAACAAAGAAAAAAAACCCCACTTTTCAAGTCAATTGTATTTTATTTTTCAAGAGGCCACACATTTTGGGACATGTTTCCAAACACATCTCCTTTATGGGTCTCCATGAAAACACTCAGTGTTGTTTGCTAGCAAATTCCTAAACATTAATTCATAGCTTGGACGAATTTAAAATAACCACATTTTAAGCAAAATGGTTTTAGCTGTATAGAGCACAGTGAAAACAGTTTTTAGCTATGATACATCACTTTCCTTCAGCTCTTACCGATACACACTATTATTTTTTCAATGCTGAAGAAAATAATATGCTTAAGTATACTTTATAGATTTTGAGCACAGGAAAACTGCTATGAAAACCAGCTATTTTCCTATACAAAATACATTTGCTAGCTCCATTGCTAACAGAACGTTCTCAATAATGTCCTTTACCCAAATTATTTAATCCAAGCTGGATAACTATATATTCTCCCACAGAATATTTTAGCGATGAACTCTATTAGCATTATATTAGGGACAATATTCTACTTAAGAACTAAATCGTTTTCATATATTCTGCATTCCTTTGGGTTTTATTGGTCAGAGGGAAAAAACATTCTGAATAGGAAGAATTTAGATTAAATCACTACAATCCTAAACAAATTTATATGATTTAATCAAATATATTGCTAATGGCACCAGTTAAACCTTCCAGCTACATTAAATATTCTAATTGTTTTAGTTATACTGAGTACTTGCAGTAGTGACAAATCAGTAGAATTAGGTGTGCTTACATTCATCATGATGAACCTTCATTGGCATTGCCTTATTGTCCTAGAAACTCTAGCCCTATCATTTCCCTATACATTAAGAAAAAAATATACAGGAAAAAAAATATTTGTGTATTTGTGTTGTTAACTTACCTCTTTTGTAACTTCAGCATCAATGTTCCATGCCCCCTTATCTGTGGAAGCAAGCATTTATTGTGAGACATAAAATACAGACATTGCTTTGGGGTTTTTTTTGTACAATGTGACATTTTTATTGTACAGTAAACATTACAATGTTGTGGCTAAATGACAAAAGTAAAAACATAGATCAAGTTTGTCACTTCAACTCCATTTGTACACTTTGCTAATGCAAGATCAATTGAAGCCATGCTGTAAGAGTGCATTACATTAATTAGTTCAATAGTAAGGCTGACGAATTTACCTCTGTTTATCAGTGCCTGGAAAAAAAAAATCAATAATTTGTCCTGCTAGCCCAGAAAAAAATGTTTACGGTAATAAATGAGAAACTGTAGTGGATTTATGACTCAGGTGTTTCTCAAGAAAAGGCTCTTCTTGTGTCTTTCACTTCACACTTAGAAGTAATTACTTCAGAATTATAGTAACACCACATTATTAAATATTAGAAATGGTTACTGGATTAAAAAGAAGACTCAACCTCAAACCCACTATATACTTGTTTCTATCTTAGATAATTTTTGTTAATTTTAATGTTTAATATTGCTGGTTTTATCTGTTGCAAGTTTCCCAGAATTATCTGATAACAAGATAGGTGGCATATAACTTTGATAAATAAATAATATAGAAGAACATTCTATTGCACAAACTAAGCCAGGGAAAAGAAAATCTGCAGTATAGTAAAAGATGTTTATGCATTGCTATGAATTAAGAATAAACTAATGACAGATCCTTTGAAGTTCATGTGTGCTTCACATATAAGTAACAATGATGATAAATGGACAGATACATACATGCACATGCTATCTAGATTCCTAGCATATGTTTCAATGAGCAGTAATGCTGCAAGCTTTATTATCTGTATGTTGCTTAGAGCAACCACTGGGCCGTGGACCGGTACCGGTCCATGGAACATTTCCTACCGGGCCACCGGTTTGCTGGGCGCTGCCATCTTGTTTGACGAGAAAGTGCTTCGGGGTGAGCTTTTCCAGGGGGGGCTTCGAATGAAACTAAGGCAGGAGGATTCTTTTAGTACCCAAGGCAAGGCGAGCCGAGCGACCGTCCCGAAGCCATCCCGAAGCCGTCCTGAAGCAAAGCCATCAACAAAGTTACAAAGGAGGAGTTGAAGGTGGCGGGGAGAAGCGGGGGACGGCTGGCTGGCCGGTCGCTTGGCTCACCTTGCCTTGTCATGCGTGCTGACGCCGGTACCGGGCTGCGGATCATTTTGTGATGCCGGTACCGGGCCGTGGCACAAAAAAGGTTGGGGGCCACTGGCTTAGAGTCTTCAGAAACAAGCAGCATAGACCAAGGTAATAAAATTAAGTAATAATAAGAAACCCCTGAATTCAAGAACACACCTTTCTCATAGAAAAAGATGTGTTCATAAGCTTGAAAATTATTCTCAAAAACATTTGCTTTTTGTGTCTAATGGATGTATCATTGGGGTAATTGAGGTGTTTAGTATCGTTTGGATAATTGAAACTTAGAAGATACATTGCAATCAATGGGGATAAAGCTAATTATGACTATTTAAGTCCTATTAACTTCAAGGGGCTTCCTTTTTGTACCACTCAGAACAGATCTAATCCTACATATTTGAAGGATATCTACTAATCCTCTACCACTCTATCACCAGAGGTGAGAACTGATTCCAACCTTTTGGTCTCCAATTATGTAGGATAAAAGTATTAATAAAGGTATTAAAACTTGCCTTTGCTGGTTGGGCGGGGGCTTCAACAGGACACTCACTGCTGGAAGTGGTTGATGAAGTAAGAGTTCCTATCTCTTAGTTCTGGTTTCAATATAATTTTTGAAATCTTAATCTATGTAGCTTTAATGCCTTAATATTCCAATGTTTTTTTCTACCTGTTTTATAACTCATAAGCCACCCAGAATCACCTTACAGGGGAGATGGGTGGCTTAAATTTTTAATAATTAAATAATATGCAATAGTTAATTCCAAATTTAATCATATTTATATTAGAGTTAAGTATATAAAGCTCAAGTTAATCACTATCAGTAAAACAACAAAGAATGATCACTAATTTTAAATGCAATACTAGTTTTAAGGGGTGCATCTATATCTAAAGCACTTATGAAGTCCTAACTTACACTTTTTTCATTCATCCCCTGAATTTCCACTGCAAATGTTCCAAAGGTTTTAATTACTGGTAGTCCATGCTCAGATGCAGAAACTTCCTTTAAAATCAGTGGGTAAGAAGGAAGACCACTTAAGACTTTTCTTTGTCCAAAATTTTTCCTTCTGAAAGACACCACCCAATCCTCACATTAACCCTAATCCTAAGGGCTCACTAATACAAACATCTATGAATGAACAGTGTCACAACTTCATTTGTATTCGCTTATTATCTGGATCAAATTACAACTGAGTGGTAATTACCAGTCCCATTCTTGAACACAGCATAATCATAACAAAGGAAACAGGAAAGCAGGAGAGAAGCTACGGTATTTTTTCTCCTAGTAGAACTTTGCAAGGTATTTTAATCTGATTGTGTAAAAATTTTAAATAAAGGAAAGCTACTGCACTGAATATAATACCTCGCATGTGGAAACCTTCATTCTCTCCCATTTCATATTTTTTTTCTCCTTCTGCATCCACTCCTGTTGCAGTTCTCTCTCCTTCAACCTTCCCAGGGGCATTGTTCTTGTCTCCATTTGTATCAACGATTTGAACAGCTTCAGCAATGATATCGGCCATCTTGTCTAGCTCCAGTGAGCTCAACTTATCTACATCTACATGATGTTTCTTCAGGTCTCTCAGAACATCTTGAATAAATATTTCTTAAAAAAGAGGGGAGGGGAAGAAGCTTGATTACTTGTGAAAAGTTTAATATTACATATAAGAAAAAGAGAAGCAAAGCATTGCTGCTTTAGTTGCAGTCCTCAATAGGAAATATTTAATTATCTGCCTTATTCAGTGCTAATAGATATAAATAATACCCTCAGAAATATTTTCTTTTCTTTTTCCCAATATGTTTACTGAATTGATTCAATTAAATAAATTTTTAAATTTATTTTCTTATATAAGTAATTGTATAATTGCAAATAATGCCTACTAAAAAAAATGGATTTGACATTAACTGATAGTGATATATGCTCATACCCAGACCAATAATCTAATATTCCTGAATACAATAAAACAATTTCATGTAACGATTATTCTATAAATAGGCATTTACTTCATTCTATATCAGGTGTCCCCAACCCCAGGGTTGCAGCCCATAACAAGACTGTTGGCTGTTTGGAACTGAGCTGCAGAAACAGTGGGTGAATCTGCATGTGCATCCCCACTTGTGTGAGCAGCAGGTGAGTGTGTGCATGCATGCTCCATTTGCACAAGTTGCAGGCGTGTGTGCCTGCCACTCTCACAGAACCATGCCCTCTTCCCCAGCTTTAAACTAGAGGCTTTAAACTACTCCCTCCTCATGCACAAAACCAGTGACTTTGGACTGATAGAATTCTAGGTAATATATAATAAATGCTTATCAAGAGCAATAATCATACAATGTAGTATAGCTTGAAAATAGGAATGACAGTAATAGCTATGCCAGCAATAGAATATATATCTTTATTATACAAGTTCTTGAAAGTTAAAATATTAACAATTTATGTCAATACATTATTGCTCTTTTTTCAGCTATGTATAATTAGCACCACTGCTTTTGAGTGGAGCCCACAAGTTTCCTGTATTTTAACCTATGCCTGAAAGCAATGAAAAAGTGGGAGAATTCTACAGCAGTCAGCTCTTGAACTTTCTCTGTTTAGCTTCCAAGTTTTGCTGGTCTCCAAGAAGACTTATTATTGTCTGAACATAACAACACTTTATTGCTCATCTCCGGACCCTGATGTATAAAACTACAGGATGTGCCTTGAACCTGAATTATAGGGATTCTTTGGCCTAACGATTCTGCCATGTAATACTATCTTTGGATTGCTTAACTATTCTGTGAATCCTTCAAGACAAAGCACCAGAAGAGCGTTGCAAAAACATGTAAACCCCTTCTAAAATGAGAGGAACAGCTCTAAAACCTCATTCATTCTACCCATTCCAGTCATCTCATCACTTTACTGACCCATTCACCAGGAAAACAAGCAAGCAAATATAAATTCTTATTATCTTCGTTACTCCCCCGCCCTTAGGAAAGGAGGAAGAGGAGGAGGAGGAGCTATGTTGCTTTGCATGTACACTGAGAGTCTCTGCACTGACAATTTCCTTGAGTGTCTAATCACACTTGGCCAAATGAAGCATTTATTCCCATATATTATACTTGAATATAATATAATATAATATAATATAATATAATATAATATAATATAA